AAGGACTTCTACACACATGTCTCACCAGAACGGTACCCAAACATTAGGAAGCATGCACAGGTGATGTTATCTCTGTTTGGCAGCACCTACATTTGTGAACAGACTTTCAGTGTAATGAACCTTAACAAAACCAGGCTCAGAAGCACTCTGACTGATCTACACCTGCAGGATGTTCTCACCCTCTGTTAGTCAGCTTCAGCCTGACATTGAGAGGCTGGTCAAAGCCAAAGACCAGCTTCATGTGTCTCACTAATAGTGTCAAACTGCTGCTGTTTGCTGTTAATATGGACATGCATTTGGACATAATTTGTGGCTAAATAAAGATTCATTTGCTTTGTATTTGCTTCCTGTTCTTTGTACAAAGAGTGAAATGTTAAATACCTTTTATAATAAACACATTTCAATCAGAAAGTGCACCCCCCCGCCCACCCGGCCCTCAGCCCAGTAACGCATTTTCATTTTGGCCCTCCGAGGGGAAAAGTTTGGGCACCCCTGTGTTAGAAGGTATAGATTAGTTAATGGGCTAAATCAGCCAAAACCACTACAGTGGTTAAAGTTCTAGTGATTTAATAGTTCAGTATTAGAGAGTAAGCTAAAAATTCAACATTATGTACACTATATTCACACTTGGTCAGAATATTTTTGTGGTTGTGTGAGGAGCACAAAGGGCTTACATGTCCCTGTAGCAAAGCTGACAGGCCCTGCAGGCTTTATGAGGTAGGAGCGTGAGCCACTGAATATGTCTACGTGCATGTTTGCTTTCTACTCTCTCCTTCTCATGTCCCATTTGTTTCCATAGAAACACGGGTACAGATCCAGGAGTCGGTGCGAGGCAAAGATGTCTTTGTGATCCAGACGGTGTCAAAGTAAGTAAGAAAGAAAGCTCGCACAACAGTTTTCCTCTGAAACATGCCTTTCATACCATTACGTGCTACTACTTTACTCCTGTCTTTTCTCTCTGTCCCTTGGCTCTATCAGGGATGTGAACACCACCATAATGGAGTTGTTGATCATGGTGTACGCGTGCAGGACATCCTGTGCCAGAAGCATTACAGGCGTCCTCCCCTACTTCCCCTACAGCAAGCAGTGTAAGATGAGGAAGAGGGGCTCAATCGTCTCCAAGCTGATTGCCTCTATGATGTGTAAAGCTGGTAAGTGAGAGTCGGAAATCTGCTGCCAAAGACGAGCCGTTGTAACTTTAAGCATTAACACAGTCAAACCGATGTGTGTAGGTCTCACCCACCTGATTACCATGGACCTCCACCAGAAAGAGATTCAAGGCTTCTTCAACATCCCAGTGGACAATCTGAGAGCATCACCCTTCCTGCTGCAGTACATACAGGAAGAGGTAAATACACTGATGCGTGCACAACATGATTTGCATTTAAAATTTTTCTGACTTTTAACAGCAATGCACTTGTATTTTTCCAATCCTTTGGTTACAGCTGCTGTTCTTGTCAGGCTTTCTGTTCTTACATGTGAGAAGATGTAAGAAAGTAGTAGTTTAGTGAACAGTCAATTACAGAATCATATCTGACCCTTCATTTGTATTTATTTTCCATGAACTTCCAGATCCCTGACTATAGAAATGCTGTGATTGTGGCCAAATCCCCAGCTTCTGCCAAAAGGTAGGCTCTCCTCACTCACTGTAAGAATGAAATCCCCTTCAAATGGGCTGCACTTTGACTCCGCATGCATTTGAACCACCATGCTGATCATAAATCTGTTTTGTTGCCCCATTCTCTGCTGTGTGCCACGGCATCTTTGTTAGTGCTACCACTGGAGGGCGCCAGAGTGCCAGACTTTACAGTTGTCAGTGACTGTTTTATTTTTCTCTACTGGTTTTTACATTGCCCTTGTAAAGTACTTTGGTCAACCAGATGTTGCTTTAAAGTGCTATATAAATAAACTTTGATTGATTGAAACCTTTGTGAACAGTTCAATTTTTCTCTTAAGTTTCATGTTTCTGTATGTGTTTCATTACTACTTCTTAATCTCAAAGCTTCAGGTGGAGGATTATCCACTGTTCTGAATTTTGTTTGGGTGTGCAGGGCTCAGTCATTCGCTGAAAGGCTGCGTCTGGGTCTAGCAGTGATCCATGGTGAAGCTCAGGATGCAGAGTCAGACCAGGTAGATGGGCGACACTCCCCACCAACTGTCAAGACCACTGGAGCCATTCATCCCAGCATGGAGATACCATGTAATGCATACACACACACTGACAGATGAACACTGTCATTTGTAGATGCTTGTGCACCGATTCTCCCCCCCTTGTTCCACCACTGCTAAAAATAACACATGGCACACAGAAGTGTTGCAAGTTTCACTTTGTCTTTCTATGTACACTTGTTCTTGTTTCCAGTGTTGATCCCCAAAGAAAAGCCTCCCATCACTGTTGTTGGAGATGTAGGAGGACGCATCGCCATCATAGTGGTTAGCGAGCCAAGCTTAGTTATTTTAGTTTTTTTTATTACTATGGTAGTTTGTTGTATCCGGTGTTTCAAACAGGTCTGTTTGTCCCTCAGGATGACATCATTGATGATGTTGACAGTTTTGTGGCAGCAGCAGAGAACCTGAAGGAAAGAGGGGCCTACAAGATCTTTGTCATGGCAACACATGGCCTCCTCTCCTCCGAGGCCCCCAGGTTCATAGAGGAGTCTGCTATTGATGAGGTGAGTCTGTACTTTGAAATGTTTTCTTTACACGTTAATGTTCTTGTCACGTTTATGCCTTCCCCCTCCTCTGCGCATTTCACTTCTCTCTCTCATCTCGTCTTTCACTCCTGTTTGTTTTTTTCCAGGTGGTGGTGACCAACACAATTCCCCACGAGCTGCAGAAGCTCCAGTGTCCTAAGATCAAAACAGTTGACATCAGCATGATCCTGTCAGAGGCCATCCGCCGCATCCACAACGGAGAGTCCATGTCCTACCTGTTCCGCAACATAGGAGTGGACGACTGAACTCACACTCACACCATTTGCCTTCTTAGACCAGAAACACAGATAAATGGAAAATCATACACACAAATATCCATGTCCTACTCCTGTTGTAACATAGAAATAAATGTAAATGCTAATCCTTTGTCAAGCATATCCTAACATAGAAGAAGGTCGTTAGTCGAGTGAACACTTCCATAGAGCCGTCTTGTTCCATGGCTGTGATTGAACGTACACTGATGTGACTGACTCTGTCCAATGGCTCTTATCAGTACACACCTTAGGTTTTTTGCCTTCATTTCTTTGAATACCTTCCTTAGTTACATTTCCATACACTCCCATATGTTTATATAGAAATCATTGTTGATATTAAATCTGTGTGTTACAAGATATTGGTTAAATCTGAATGTCTCTTTCTGATTCTGTAAGTTAAGGATTGTACTGCTAGGGTGCCAGTGCCTTTTACAGGATGGATTTCACAGACACACTTTATTCTGCAGCACAACTGTGTCTCAGCTAATGTTACTTATTCCTAATGGTCCTTGTAATTAATCCTGGATGCAGGGTTTCAGGTAGCGTATGATTGCATGTGTCAAGCCAAACTTGTTAATTTTTTATGTTGTCTGAATAGAGTTAGTTCATCCATATGTTGGTGAGGTTACCATAGCACTACATAGCTAATCTAGTGTCATATCTACTAATTGCAAAAACTTAACTGGAACCAATACAGGAACTATTTTCTCAGACTAGTTAATTGGACTATGCTAAAACTTTGACAGTGCACCTGTGAAATGTATGTATCCATGAATCCAATGTCTCAGATATGTGTTTGTGCCACAACTGAGTAGTTCCAGCGCCAAGAAACAGATTAGAACCTTCATAAAATGTGACTACAGTTTTACTTTGGCTAGAATGGTAAAGTTGTTCTTAATCATTCAGAAATCCTTGACTTAATTCACTGACATGTTATATCCGAGTTTCAATTGAGAAGTTCCAACTGAAGCTAAAGTAATTGGAGGCTTTTTTTTTTCCTGACAAGAAAAACTTGACTGAAGCAGGTCTTTGTCATTTTACCAGATGTGTTCCAAAAAGGTTTATTTATTTTCAGCATTTAATATGAATAAAGAATATCTTCTTTCTGATGTTTTGGAGCTTCATAATTGGATGTATATCTTCTAAACCAAGCATGCATGTTTAAGGGACAATCAGGTTAGGTTAGTAAAAAAAAAAACAACAACAACAAAGGCACACAAATTTAAAGAATACAGAATAAGTGAACAGTAAACTAATACTTAAATCAACTTACCCCACTTGTTTGTTGTTCAACATAGTTTTGTTTATTAATGCTGACAGATAGGTACTGTTCAAACATGGTGGCATCAACTGAAGAACTGAACCAGGCAGAGAAGGAAATCTGTTTCAGACCTGAGACACACTCAAAGGTCGGCTTATTCGTTGTCAGACTGTCTTGCTCACACCATTTGGTACTGCTCTGTCCATGGTTATTCTTCTAGCTAGCATACCACATGACACCTAATTCTAATTTTATCTGTGTATCTGAAGAAGTCAAGCCAACAGCTAATATTATAAAAGGACTGAAGTTACTCCAAAATGTCAAGGACTTTAAGCTTTGGAGCATTAAAAACAAAAATTCCAACAAAAGAAAAACTACCACATTTTCTGTAATGATTATTTTTACATTTTTAAACTTCCCCAATGTTTCCAGATTCTTAAAAGTTACTGTGTAAAGCAATCACGAGACTATATACGAGACTATACTCTGTGGTACATAACAGAAACCTGTTTCTACTCGTTTTATTGGCTCTGGCTGTGAAGATTTTTTTAAAGTTTGGTTACAGGACAAAATATGCAAGTTGTCCAGTTAGTTTACCACCCTGAGCATCAAATATGGTCATCGCATCAACAAGGTCAAAAGGAACTGGACTTGTAAGCAGATATAACTGGGTCACACTGAAATGCAATTCAGATCAGGAGGCTCATCACCCAAGGCAACTGGGAAGCCGAGATATTAGGGTGCTGGCGGTGGAACACATACACTTGGACACTCTACAACCTGATCCTTAACCCTTAAACAAGGCACTAAAACCTATCACCTGCTACAGCAGAGCTGCTCAGAGGCCACCAGTGGGATAGTGGTTTTAAAGGACAGCTCCCAGAAAGCAGAGGAAACAGCTGAGTTTAATAAATAATTAAAATATGAGAAGCAATAGCAAAACACTGGGAAGGTGTCATTGAGAAAGGCATCTAACTGACTACAACCTGTATCAATACTTAAACAACGCTGGAGTGCTACAATCTGTTGATCTTCCAACATCACTGGCGAGCACTTCTTAAATGCTGGCAACCCTTTTTTTTTTTTTAATGCAAGTATGAGCAACGGGCAGACATGATGGGGTAACAACTGTGACATCAGCAACAACTAGCACACGTCAATGCTTAGTAAAGGCTAAAGCAGCAGGTTAACTAATATGAAAAAGTCATCATAACAAGGCAAAGTGAAAACTTGTTTAGATTTTAAAACCAAAGTGACCAGAACTTGATTTGATTATACAACAGCAACTGTACATGTCACATTGGTTTAACACAGACATAAAAATAACAAAAGTACTCAAGTTGCTTATGGCTGATTTTGATTCCTTTAAAAATGCTCTCTTGTTCCCATTCAACAGGACTACAATGTAAAATACTGTAAAACAAATACTTTGTGTTTTTTTAATGCAGTCTTACATGAAAACATGAACCTTATACTGTGAGTTAAGAGTCGTTCCCCCCATTAACCGCAAACAGAAAAATGGCACATCATTTGTTTACATATTCCTGTGAATTGAGCAGTACACAACTTTACTCCCATGAGTCACTGAACATCTCTGTAGATATACTTCTAATACAGACTATTTCCTCTAGGTCAGTGAGAGACATTCAGATGGTTTAGCGCCAACACTTTAGGGGACTTGCCATTAGAGTGGGTGTGAAGCATTCTGCCAGACTGAGGCCGAAGGCAGAGACAGATTGGTTAACGCAAAACAAGTCTGGAAAATAAATACCTCAACATGTTACAGGACTACCTTTGTAAACTAGGAGACTGAACATTTTATCAGAATTTTAATAACAAGCAGAACTGCTTTATCCCCATAACTGTGATTTATGATTTATTTTCTGTAAAAATACTAAACTAAGTATTTTCAACTGTTTATAGATTTAACAAAACTAGACTCTACAGCCATGCAAGCAGCTATATACTACAGCCATATAAGTGGCTATATACTGAACTTAGGCACAGTAGTGCTTTGAGCTAATCGCTAATGTTAGCATGCAACTATGCCCACAGTGACAGTGTTCATGATGATGGTTAGCAGGTTTAAAATTTATCATGTCTGCCATTAGCATGCCTATATCACCTAATTAGGAATAATAGAGTTGTGGTCTACAGGAATGCTCATAAACCAAAGTATTGGACATATTAGATTTATCTGCCCATGGCACTTAATGAGAGTCTAGAGATCATCGAAGTTACAGTTCTTCATCCTCTGGGCATCAGGAATGATGACAGTCTGTATCAAAGTGGCAGACTGACCAAGAGGCTGACATTGCCATCTATAGAATCACGCTGCTAGCATGGCTAAAAGACATAACATGCAGTGCTTAACACATTGTTTTTGTGAAACCTGATCTTTAACCTTCACCTGACTGTCCTTAGTCTCTCTACCTTACAACAGGGGGACAAACTCTCAAAAAAAACAAAACTACTGTATTCATTACTGATTAAAAAACAAGCAGCCTAATTTATTTTTTAATTCAGCATTTCCAATTACTGCAATCTGATTAGAGCTTGCCAGCAAGCTTCATTGTCTCAATTAATTTTCATTACATGAAATCATAATAATAACAGTGGTGAATAACACTAGAGCAGCAAAATACACAACTGGCCATGTTCACAACTTTGTACAAGAACTTGTGTTAAACATCGTCTTACTGAGCACCATTTTGCTATCCATGTCTAACTATGAACATCAAACAGCCATCATTAGTCGCTTGAGAAAAGTCAAATCACAATGATTCATTTGGATATACCGACTGTCCTGTAACCACAGTGTGACAAATTCACACCCTAAGTCAATTTGTCCTTTCTCTTTGAAGGAAATAGATACACTGCAAAAAATTACAATCTCCACTGACAAATTAGGGCAATTCCATGCAAGTCAAATTGGAAACTCCTAAGGACAATCAGAGTTCAAATTCAAAGCTCAAACTTGTAACAGTTTTCTTTCTGCTTAGTAGTTTAAAGCTTGCAACTTATCAGACTGATATATCTGAGCAAAATATTTATTTGAATGGACCTAATTCGCCTCCAGTGGTGCCTGGTTTCTTGAAAAGTATCTGACCTTAAATGAACATAACATTACTCCTGTATTTAACCAATATTTGGCCATGTCAGGCATGTATTACTGACTAAGGTTCAGTGTCTAAAGTCTTAATACTGGAACTGGGATCATCTATTCTTCTCCTAATGCAAGAGGAGTGTTTTTACATGCACACGGTTTTCTGAATAACACTGCAGCTGATATTCTTGTGAAAGAAACACTTCTCATGCAAAATTATCCTGGAATGTCAGCATAAAATAGGCTTCACTAGCTAATGAGAAAAGGCAAATACTGATTGAAATATCAATAATAAATGTAACTGACAAAGACTTTAATTCTTTCATTCAAAATGATTGTATTTTTTTTGTCTCGGGGAAGCCAGTAGCTAGCTATAAGCAAGTAGGCTATGTCCAGTCTGAACGTAAAGGCTAACTAGCTAAGTTAGCTAACTTAATATAACTGTTATGAAATCAAAGAGAGGCCATAATGATTAGAAGTTTATAAGTATAGAAAAAGTCCGTTTTAACAGCCGACAACTTTTTAACGTGTAATGTTGAAATTGCAATACCACTAAATTTACAGCAGTGAAATATTTTACTCTGAAACCTGTGTGGTATGTGGTTTGAATTCCCCAATCTGAAAGTTCATAAATTCAAATAGAAATTTCAAGCATTCAATTTTCACACAACTCCAGTCAGATTAAAAAATTCACATCAGGTCAAAAAAATCAAGTTGTTTTAAATTTAACTGATTACATGCAAACACCAAAATTTATTTCAAAATTTCAAACTTGAATGTTGAGGCTGCCCAAGATAATAAGGCCAGCCTGACAGAATACATTCAAATTGGTCATTTTCAAAATATGTAACTGCTTTAAATTCAGTGGCATTTAAAATTTGACATTAGTCATTCAGTAGCTGTTAAATTTCAAAGTCGGTATGTAGTTATTTATAAAATGTAGATTATTATTACCTTTTTTGCTTCCATGTCAACCTGCCAATTTTGTCGGTCGGGTTCTAATAGACACACTAATTCTTCAAACTTCTTTAATAACCAAACTGTGTTAAGCATCCTTAAGTTTATTTATGTAAAAAAGAGAAATATTGTCCAATACAATATTATTCAAACTCTCTAATATTAATATTTTCTTTTATAATTCATAACTGTCTGGTATTTTTTTGGCTCTTTGGCTCCACCCACTGACTGTAGGTTAATTCAACCGGAGAGATCATTTTTAGTAGTTCTACGGGCAAGAAATGTTTAAATAACTGAGATGACAAAGTTCCTCTCTGGAGAATGCAAAAGGAAGCTGTACACTAAGCAGCCTCAGAATACTAGTATATTCAAACTAGCATATTACAGGGTGCTTTCTTTGTTTTTCTGTGATCCTGGGTAGAACAAATTTGTGAAAACAGAAAGCAATGTTTTCCTGCACCAAAAGAAGAATAATGTACATGACTACCCTGAATAACAGGACACTGGTGTGCATGTAAACTCAGATACTGTAGTAAACACCAACAAATATATACCATTAGCAGATCTAAAAGAACGTATTAGACTATTCACACCCTGTTTGCCATTGATGCTGATACGAAAGAGATGAAACAGACTGAATGTGGACACTGAGCTTCCCCCCCTCCAATGCATGACGTTATCATTCACTCATTGCACTGCCTTACTCACCCCCATCAGACCCACTTAACGGCTGAAGCCATTTAAATACATGTATAGTATATATACAAACAGTATGCCACCTGAAAAGCGTGCTTATGCCCCATTCTTTTCATTGCTTGCAGAAAGTTTGCAGAGAGCTAGGCTGGGTATGGGAGTTTTTGCCACTGATCATAAGTTTTTGTTGGCCATTTTTGTTCCATAGTTTTCATAGAGTGGTGGCTATTTCCTTTCAGTTTTAGTTTTTGTCAGGTTTTGTCATTACTATCGAGGTTCCGCTTCAGAAATCGTGTCAAGTCTGAGGTGGCCACTTCTACTTGTAGTTTTGATTCAAATAATCAGTGCCATATAACAGAAAACACACTTGTCCTCTTCAGAAGAATCCAGTCCAGTTCCAAAAAGTGGTTCAGCAACCATTTAGTTCAAAGTGAGAAGAACAACAAATAAATGACCTTTGTCTTTTCCTGTTTTGCTCTGAGTCTATGCCCTCGGTCATGCTATAAAGCACTTTGTGACGAGCTTGTTTATTAAAAGCGCTTTTTGTTTTAGAAAGAAATCTGATTCCATAATAGAATCCTGGTAATATACTGTTAATGAGGAGAGGACAAGCGAAAATGGATCATCCATAATAAAGTACACATCGTTGAATGTGGTTTCCATGTTGATTGCAAAGCTGGTTGCCAGGAAGACACACAAGGAGGATTCTGGGTATCACAAGAAGTGCATTCTGGGATTGGTTATTGACCTGACAGAGATCTAAGCTGCTGGAAGATGTCAGATGACAGGTTGCTTCTTTCATCTTTGTATCCTGCCCCCTCTTCCACTGTTTGCAACCATCATCCCTTTGTTTCCCTCCCATTACCTGTCTGCGCAGTAAATGGTTGATTGGAATAAAACACAGCCCCAGTCAGAATGAAGGCAGAGCCCCTCCTCTTCCAGTTGCAGACAGGAGGTAGCAAGTAGCAGCACTCTAGGAGATTTGGGGGGTCTTCAGGGCATCCACTTTGGTCTCCAAGTCTGTAATCTGTTGGAACAAGAAACTACTGATGATTTAAACTAGTCTAATGTGGTATCCCTGATGCCGAATGTTATTCCAGAAGTGTTATGTATTAAGCACCACATACTTTTCTGAAAAACAAAAAAACTGAATTATTACAAAGGAGATGACTGGGGCCTCTTTCTTGTGGAAATGCAAATATGAACAGATCAAAACAGGAAAAAGGCAAAAGCAGGTGAGTATTTTACAGACCTTTTCCTGGAGGTTGTCTGTCTCTTCTTTGTGTGTTGCTTCGCTCTCTTCTTGTGCTTGACGCTGAGCTGTCTCCTTCTTCAGATACTCGATCTCCCTACAAACACACACACACATTAAAGTTTCTAATGCCAATCTTTCCCTCAAACATTATTTCATGCCTCCTTCCTTACTTCTGCTGGTACTCTTTAATCAATCTCTTGGCTTTGCTGTATTTCCTCTCTAGGGTTTGGTACTGAGCCTGGGTTTCCTTCAGGTGCTCATCCACTGCCTGAGAAAACACATATACACAGAGACACAGTAAATAAAAACAAGTAGGTTTTGAGAAAGAATAAGGATTATGCTGAGGATGATTTGGGCTAAATAATGAGGGGGAAAAATCTTCATCCATTCAACAAGTTTCCTCCTCATCTTCAATGTTTATTCTCTAACAAATTACCTTACATAAGGACTGTGCCTCCATCCAGTAGCCCTCCAGTTTCTCCATTCTCTCTTTGCTGTCCCGGATGCTTTGCTCCAGTTGAGCGCGCTCCATCCGCCAACGCAACTTATCCTGCTCAGCATGAGCAAGCTGGAGGTAAGGGGGTAGTGTGGGAGGGAGGAGGTTGTATGTGGGAAGTAGAGCCAGCGTTAAGTTGGCTAACAAAGGAACCGATGTTATGCTAGTGCACATTCTCCTCTGCAGTTTAATTTAGATATTTCAGTGTTAAGATGGGGTCTCACCTTTCTCTTTAATAGCTGGATCTCTGCCTGGGTTACTGCATGTTTAATCTGGAGCTACATCAGACAAAGATGGCCAGAACATAAAAACATGTAACATAAATGCCTGATAAAATTGGGAGACAGGTAACATATGAGTGAAATAAATTAATAAAAAATTATGAGCAGAATTCAAATGATCACAAATACAGTCACTTTAGAAAATAATATCCACACCCCTTCACTTTCCACATCAAAAAACATGCTTCTGTCATTATGAGTTAGTCAGTGTAGACTGATGGCCAAAAATGGCAATTTTATCCATCTAAAATTCCATCTACAACACAAAGTGCAAAAAGTGAATACTTTCTGAAGTGAATGTACCTCCTTGAATTTGTGGGCCAGCTTCTCGGGGTCCAGCTCCACAGGGGACAACGTGTCCTGGTTCTCTGCAAGGTCAAAAACCTCAATGGAGTTTGGAAACATTGGACTCATCTCCTCTTCCTCATCTGTTGCATATTCACCTGTCTGCAGGTAAACAGAAAGACATGAGGTATGATAAAAACATTATATATATACTGTGCATTTGTTGATAATTGCAATACTTCATACATTTTAGGTTTTTGTTTACTGTAGTTACAGTCATGGTCAAAAATATTGGCATCCCTGCATTTCTGTGAGATAGTGCAGCACCTCTCCCAGAAAACTGTTGCAATCACAAACTCTTTGATATTCACATGTTAAGGATAAGATAACTCACTGCTGGTGTTAGCCACATTTTTACTTTACAGACATGAGAAAAATCAAAAAGCAAGAAAGTGTATTTCCAAAATATCAAACTATTTGGTGACACCAAACTACCATCTCCCAGTTCCAGTCCTTTCTCTCCTCATTAGGAGCACGTATCATATAAAAATATTCAAGTGACCGTTAGCCTGCAACAGACCACAAGTCTAAAATTACAAATTAAGTGAGAAAAACAAGGCCTCTTCTTGGCAGTCTGTCAGTTGAGACTCAACCCTCTGAAATTGAATGTGGCTTCTGCCTGTAACTGTCTTCCACTAAAAGGATTCACACAATCGATAACAATCTGCTCATTTGTCTTCTTTCCTCTTCTACATTATGAAGTATATGAGCTTCACATTACAAAAGCTCCATTGCTGACAAGAATAAATTGACCAAAATTTAGCATTGCACTTAATATGTCACTCTTTGATGTAATGATAATGCCATATCATCTATTCCTTATTATGAGGCTACATCAGAGCAGAGTGCCTGCTGCTGTCAACATTAATATCCTCTGCTGAATGCAGCTGTTTGGCTCCTCTGACCTGCCACACTGAAAGACTGAGTCACACCAGCGTGTACTTCTGCAGCCATGACCGTTCTTTTTAAAGCTCTCTCACACAAGTACACTAACAATTTAGTCCAATACTAAATCAGCTGAGTACCTTTTGAAATGTATATACGCAACATTCAAGAGACACAATGAATTATTATGGATAGACAGTATATATAAATAGATGACTCGACAATCCAGTCTGGTTCACACCAAGTTCACTAAATTCACCAAATTCACGATTTGGCTGATTACAAGATGCTATCATATGCAGCCAACACTTCCTGTGCTACTGGTTTTAAAACAATGTGATACTCAAGATGATACCTCATACAGTGACATAGCAGAATTTGCAGCATGTTACCGATAGTGTCTACTATTTTTGAGAATGATTTTTCTTTTTGTTTCTATCATGAATTTTTTTGCCATTTTTTTCCACTTGTCTTTGGAAACATTCAGGATGAGTGTGTGTGTGTGTGTGTGTGTGTGTGTGTGTGTGTGTGATGTGGTGAACTATGTTTAGATGAATAACGAGCAGGAGCGTAGTCAGGATTTTAGACATATTCAGAACCCCAGTACTCAAAGAAATGACTGACAAGCCACCAACCAAAATAGTATTTTAAAACATTTACCTTTTAACTGTTCAGTTATATGTTCTATAAATTTAATCTTACCACATTGTGATGTGATATAATTATCTAATTCTGGTGAAAATTAAATGTAATTTTAATATACTGTATTTAGTGTTTACCTAAAAATTGATCTGTGTCCTCTGTTATCTACAGCCCTGCTGATGAAGAATGGCATCTTTCAGTCATCGATTTAATCCTACTCAAGAATGTCTCAATTTTCTGTGAGTAGAGCAGCTCATCAACCCCAGTGTTATGGAGAATGGAGTGAGCCACTGGAATAATTAAATACATTTTGAATTTTAAAGACAGAGAACTTTGAAGCACACTAGCAATTTCTTGTATATGGTTATTGCTGTAGCGCTGAACTGCCTGTTACTCCCTCGGACCACAAGGTGGAGGAGATGGACTGAGTTTGTAATTACAGGCCACGTGGAGCCTCACAGACCGACATTTTGTCACACACACACAAAATACACGGTCACAATCCTCTCTCCTTCACTCTTCATTTGATCACCTCCTTTTGATTTTCTGCAGCCAAGATTTAAAAGGGTTGGACAATGCTGCTGTAGTTTGAAGAACAGCCACCTCTAGTCCCTGGGTCACTCTTTTCTTAAGCATGTTCATAGAAACGTGTACCTCTTCATCATCATCCATGTACTGTTTGTATCTCTGCTCCATCATCTCTCTCTGCCATCTCTCCTGTTCCAGAGTCTGCTGGATCAGCTGAGCCACTTCACTCTGTTCCCCTGGCTTCTCCCGGCCAATCACAAACCTGAAAAACATTCACCATGCAGCAGGTGATAAACCTGGAAACATTTAAAACCAGCCAACTTAAAGAACTCAAAATGCACAATTGTAAGGCTGACAAAGCAACAGCAAACCTGAAAACATTTACACACACACACACACACACACACACACACACACACACACACCATACCGAATGCAAACCTGAAAACATAAAATGCACCCATCACAAACCTGAGAATTTCAGCATATTTATATCACAAATCTGCAAAAAAATATGCAGTTTTAAAAATCTCAAAATAGGAAATCCATACATTTTGTGTAAATTGAGTGAAGCACAAATCAGAACATTTATAAAGTGTGTGTATAAAAGACAAAGGGTGTGTGTGTCAGACGCAGACCTGACGGTACCAGTGGTATTGCGTAGGACAGAGGCAGCAAAGCTCTGAGTGACCCCGACCAGGCTGGTCCCATCAACCTCCACTATGAGATCATTCACCTGGATCCTTCAAGCACAGACATGAAGTGAATTTACATGTGTATACATAAAAGAATCAACTGATCAATGTCAGACAAAGGAAGAGGTAAAGCATTAAACATATGTGGTTATTATATACAGTTTGGGGCATAACTAGTTACAAAATAAATGTAACTGTAATCAGTTACCATTACTGAGAAACATATGTAATTAAATTGAAGTTACTAATTAAAATGTTGACTTTTCAGCTTTATTGCCCAGTTTAAAACATTTGTTAGAAATGTAATCAAAAGTAATTAAGAGCAACCAGTAACATTAGTTTGATGAAGGACAGTATTTAAAATAGTTGCATATTACATTTTTAAAAGGGTAACTGCTAATCTGTAACCTATTATATTTTGAAAGCAACCTTCCCTAC